CCATAATAGTATTCCAATCGTCTGCTACGCGCGGCTGTGCAGAACTATCAGGTTTATCAGTGTGGGGTATTGAGCTCGTTGCTGCGGGTTGCTCCAAAACAGGGGTCAAGCTGGCGACAGACTGATTAGACGAGCCACCATTTTCTAATTCAGCTATGGTTTTTTGGAGTAGCTCAACTTGCCCGCAGTTGTTGAGGTCAAACATTAATTTTAGCGTTTCAAAGTCGTGATGCGTTGTCCAGCGAGCTATATCGGAAATGTTGTACGGGTCAAGCCAACGTTTCGCTAATTTCATTTCCATAGCATCGCGACACACTATATTACAAATTTTTTGGTCTTTTACCGTCCTATAGATCCATTGTGCGATGTATTTTAGTCGCATGCCAGGTCGAGACCAGTATATACCGCTAGCGTTTTCAAATGGGGCGTTCCTTTCGTGGTCTGGCGGGTCTGTTGATGAAGTTTTAGTTGTAACAACCAAACTCATCGGATATAAAAATACTAGTGTCGGCCCCGTGTAAAATGTTACTTGTTTTATAAAAGCTTTACCTGACACCGTGTACAAAAAGTTAAGCTCAAGTAACATGAATTGCGAGCCCATCTCACTTAGGGCCGGGGCAATTTTCGCATCGCAAGTAAGAATTTGGAATGAACGCACAAGCTTCTCCATGTCCATTTCTAAAAACAAAAAAGAAACAAATAAATTAGACCTACACCGAAACAAAAACACTTCTGTTTTTATCAACTTCTATTGCTCCTCCCTCCCTAATCGAGTAAATGACAAAAGTAATCGCGTCAGTAGGCGGCGTTGTGAAATTGACCTCAATACGAACATTTCCTACTGGAGGCAATGAGCTGTGAGTTCCATCGCCAGGACCATTCAGTTCTGCCGACAAATCAAAGCCAAATAGACAGTATCCGTGACGATACCTATCCAACGTTATTAGTGATGGCTGACCATTTCTTAAAAGACCAGCAGCTTTCAGCAAGTTGTGGTAGCCCATAACGTTTAGATTACTGTTAAAATCAAGGGGTCCTATTTTGTGTTGTGTTCCATTTAAACTAAGTGTAAAGTCTGTCGTTGAATAATGTTTAAAACAAAGCGGATTCATTGTCATATCACCAGCAACAGCAGTGTTATCGCAAAGACCGCAAACTATTATTGAGGGAACTCTGTTTCCTGTATACACATTGTCAAGCATAATATATCTTTGACCTTTAGCTGCCGTTATAGTTTGAACTTCAACGTGTTGCAATGGGAAAAGCGCATTTTGATTCTGAAACAAACGCGCTTCTGCGGTTAGAATTGAGGGATTAACGTGAACAATTTCAGTGTAAAGCGTGCAGTCAAGAAGGTTAATGACAGCGTCTGGAGCCGCTTCTGCAGTGAGTAGCATGAACGCGTCAGTATTCAAATTTAAATTAATGCCTAGATCAAGTCCGTCCGTCAGATATAAATGTGAATTAAAAATGTCACCGTGCAATTTAGCAATCAACTCAATAGGTTGTTTATTGTTTATATCAGCTGCCCTACTTGCCTGACCGGGATTTTTTGTTGGATTAAATACGTGCGGGCTATCTCCATCATCTGGATAAAAGCCACCGATTCTCAAATGACACTCAGTATCTGTTTTGTCACAGGACAAAATTGTTTCAAAAAAGGCGCGGTATGGATAGTTCTCAGTGTTTCTACTAACTACTGTTCCGTTTAAAACAACTTCTATCGAACTAATTAATGTTGCTGCTGCGTAATTAATTAGACAATAAGCATTATCTTTAATCTTAGCTGCTGCCTTATCTGTTACCATCAGCTTAAAGAAAACATAGGTGTTAAACAGTCTACGCTTGAAATCAGTGAATTTTCCAGCGTGGAAGAACTCAACGCGTTTAGACTGGAGTGTAATAGCATTGCGCGGCTTTACCTCTATCACATCGACATTTGTTTGTCCCACCTGTAAATTTGCCTTACTCCAACAATTAAATTCGGATTTAACGACAGGTGAGATTTGACTTGACGTCGCCATTTTAAAATATGGTCTTGTCCCTTTCGCGCTGGCTACTTTTATACTTTTAGAAGGGTGCTACTTCACTACACTGCTCCCGAAAAAATATCGACCTTGCTGCGTTTGCTTTTGCGACGTCTACGGACAGCGCCTCGCCGTTTTCCAACTCTTTTCACGATCTTAGCTTTCTTCTTACCTCGGACTCCGCGCTTTCCCCTTCGCTTTTTCCGCCCCGCTCCCCGCATACGTTTTGCCATATTATCGCGTGTCTCAACTGCTCTGCGCTTTGCAATCTCTTTTATACTAGACGGACTACCATCGGATGCTGCAATATCAGAAACAATGTTAGCTCCCGTTGCTAGTGCAGCTTTGCCTAAGGCTCGAGCGCCACTACTAAAAAGAGGTGATACAAAGCTTATAATGTTTCGAAACACATCGCTAAACCCCTGTCCACGCTGTCTACGAAATGAGGCCTTGAAAACAGGACCTATTAAACTATCGTAAGCACCACCGCTCTGCGCCCGAAAATAATCCTCGTATGCATTCATGTTGTTTGCGGACTGCAAAGTGAGAGGTCACTGTTAGCCCGTCCTTTTTATATGTAAAATAATGATTGTACCCTCATTACTTGGATCATCAAATTGGTACTCATCGCCATTCCTGTCGCACAGAAGAATTGTAACAGAAGGGAATGTGGTGCGTTCTAACGGAAAGTAATACCGATCTTGAAAGTGAAAAAACGGGCCAGCAATGGGTGGTGGAATGATTCGTAACAATTTTCCCATAACATCTCCTACACTACTAGAGCTAATTATGTCCGTATAGCAATAGATAACACCCTCGCTTACATCGCCTGATATAGAAGCATTCGATGGTGATGAACTACGCGAAGAAGAGGGTGAAGTTGGATTGGCTCGCTTACACCTCTTAGCTGACGGTGCAGGAACGTCATCAAATATACGCCGTCGCCCCGCTCCCGCCTGCTCGCTACTATCCTCCTCGCTACTCTCTTCGCCACTGTCCTCAGAATCAGCGTTTGCTTTTGCTACTTCTAGAAAATCACTTAAAAATGTGTAACCTTCCGATTCGCTCTCCGAATATTCAAAAATGCCATCAAGAAAAGCTGCTACTGAATCATAATGGCTGTTCACAACCTCAACTTCACCATTATTCGGTAATTTTATCATCGAAATGTATTTCGTGGCTTTTTTTTTCCCAGCTAGCTTTCTGTTTGAATGGTATGTGTCATTGTATTCGTCGAGTTTTTTGGTCAACAGATTCATATATCGTTTTGGCATTGATCTTGTTACGTGATAGTACAGTAATTGAGCAGATTTATGAACACCAGGAGCAATGTAAAATGATGCACGCGATGTTAAGTCTACAATTGTGCCATCTGATGGAAAATTTTCTGGTAAGAACTGATAAGCAACAGACTTAGTGTCTGTATCATATCTTGGCAAACTTTGCAACGCTTGGTTAGAATACGCGCCAAGCTGTATCATAAAGCTATATGGTAAAGCATTCGCGTCTGAATAATCGAAAACGTTATCAAGCCAATCGCCAACACTATCGTAACGTGCACTAGCGAAAACGACCATCCCACTACCCATTTTAATGCGAACAAATTTGTTCCTAGCCTCTTTACCACCACTATGTTTTCTCTTACTAGCGTACGCCCTTATGTATTGTTTTATCTTGGAACATAGTAAATGCAAATAAGATTCGGGCAATAGTCTTGTCAACTCTTTCCAGAATATTCCTACGCTTTCATATGTATTATAACCTATTGAAACGGCTGATTGGTAACCCAATTTAATTTGAACGCTGTTATGCGGTAGGCCTTTGATGTCAACAGTGTAAGGTTGCGGCCCAGGCGGCCCAGGTGGGCCCACCGATCCAGGAGGCCCTGGAGGACCGGGATTTCCAGGTGGGCCCGAGAGCCCAGGAATTCCAGGGGGGCCAGGAATACCTGGTATTCCCTGTTGTCCCGGCAAGCCCTTCTCGCCGTCCTTACCGTCCTTTCCCGGCGGTCCGTCCTTCCCGGGCAGTCCCTGCGGGCCCGCCTCTCCGCGCTCACCTGGTAAACCCGGTGAACCGTCCTTACCAGGCTTTCCGTCTGCTCCCGGAGGGCCACGTTCACCGGGAGCACCATCAGCGCCAGGCAGACCATTTAATCCGTCCTTCCCGTCTGCTCCATCCTGTCCAGCGCTGCCGGCCGGCCCCATTTCACCTCTGTAGCCCATAGGACCTCTGTCACCGGGAGGTCCAGGAGGGCCTGGTGGTGCAGGCGGTGCTGGATTACCTTGAATACCTGGATTACCTTGAGGTCCTATTGGACCTGGCGAACCGACTCTACCAGCCACACCAGGTCTTCCGTCGGCTCCAGGAGGTCCACGGGGACCTTCCAGACCGCGTTCCCCCACCAGTCCTGGCAGTCCTTGCTCTCCAGGGGGCCCAGGCTGTCCAGGCAAACCGGGCGGTCCCTGTGGGCCGTCTTTACCGGTTAAACCGGTCTGACCGATCGGTCCTGTGAGTCCGTCTTTACCGGTCAAACCGGTTTGACCGGTAAGGCCGACTTGACCACGATCACCACGAGGTCCAGGGATCCCCGGAGGCCCCATAGGACCCTCTGGTCCCGCGCCTCCCTTTGGTCCGGCTAATCCTGGAAGCCCTGGTCGTCCCGCCTCTCCCGTTGGGCCAGAATCACCTTTGGGGCCAACACGCCCCTCGGGACCTTGAGGTCCTTCAACTCCTGGCTTTCCTGCCAAACCGGGCAAACCCGTCAAACCTGTATCGCCTCTAGGCCCTACACTACCTACGTCGCCCTTACTGCCCTTCTCCCCCGGTGGTCCTCTAAGCCCGGTGTCGCCCTTTTCACCGGTCACACCACGGCGACCAGCAATTCCCGGGGTTCCTTGAGGTCCACCTGGTCCTGGAGGCCCTACCTCGCCCCGCTGGCCAGTAAGCCCTATTTCACCCCGGTCGCCAGGGGGGCCTGGTGGCCCAAGTGGCCCTGGGATCCCGATTGGTCCTTGTTTTCCCTCGAGACCATCAGCACCGTCTCTACCATCTCTGCCAGCCGTACCAGATTGACCCTGCGGTCCTAATGGCCCAGGAGGACCTGGGGGGCCAGGCTGACCCGGCTGGCCTGCCTCGCCAGCGTCGCCCTTAATAGAAAGCCCTTGGGGCCCTGCTTGGCCAGCAGGTCCCTGTTCACCTCGCAGCCCCTGTAAACCCTGCACGCCCTGGGCACCAGGAGGCCCGGGTACTAGCGTTGTGTCACCCTTTGGTCCAATAGGCCCTTCAGGACCCGGCTGACCTTGTGGACCTGGTCGTCCCGGCTTGCCGTCCAGCCCTTGGATACCCGGAGTGCCGTCCTTTCCTCTTAAACCCGTCTCACCGCGCTGGCCGGTGAGGCCGGTGGGGCCAATCAAGCCCTTTGGCCCTTCTGGACCTTGCGGACCAATAGGACCTACTTTTCCTGTGAGGCCGGCCTTCCCTTCCACCCCAGGGACCCCAGGATCTCCCTTAGGACCTTGAAGACCGGCGCTGCCCGAATCGCCCTTGTCGCCCTTGTCGCCCTTGTCGCCCTTTACGCCCTGTGGACCCTGCAACCCCGTGGATCCGGTCAGGCCTTGCAGACCTGTAGGACCGGCGTTGCCGTTGACCCCCGGGGTTCCAGGGGGCCCAGGCGGGCCCTCCACACCGCGCGGACCACGTAAGGGCGCTTTCTGCGCAGGTGTCATACCTCTAAGCGCAGCATCGTCGGCTGGAAGGTAACACGAGACCATAGCAACACTCCATTTTCCATTCGGATTCAAAATGATCGGTTTTACAAGTGTCACACGGTAATGACCAGGCGTATTATGTTCCCAAACATCCTCGCTTGCGAGTGAGGGTAAAAAAAGATAGAAATCGTCGCGATCGTCCATTCTTATTGATTTGCAATACTACTAGCCAAAACCCACTGGTTGAACGATTTAGGATAGCCTAAATACTTGACAAAAACCTCGCGTGCTTTTCCCTTTCCTCTTGACTTTATAACCTTTTCAATTTTATAAGTGGCTGTTGCTGGATCAAATTGAATGGGCGTCAACTCTTCTTCGTACACAC